CAATGTCTCTGTATTTCATATCACTTTATATTATTTATCTCTTTCAGATAAGTTCCTGTAAAAACCATCTGAATCATCCTTCTACTTGGATCACAACAAAGCAGATATAGCAAGAGATATCAGTGTATTTATAGAAATTGTATTTTTATTTTATGTATGTACAGTGTGAAATCTCAGGTGTGTATCCACATATCAGGTTTGAGAATAATTAAATAATATGAAGCAGATTGAGTTCAATTTATGTTATTGAAAAATGTTAACCATGTTATTGTGACAAAATATCCTGTCAGATGTGCTCAGCAGTACAAAATATTATAGAATCAAACAAAATATACAGTAATGAAAATTTACATGCTACACTACCGATACAACAAGGCCAGCAGACTCTGACGTAAACAGCTCGTGACGTCACCAAGAGAGGCCAGTGTTTTATTTTATCGCTTGTCGACTAACGCGTCAGTTCGTGTTGATTCATCGGGATTCACGTATGTTTTTGAAATGGTCCCGAATTCTTTTGTTGTTCATTCATCAAAATAATTGGCGGAAAAATTACTGTTTTGTGAAATATTTTGTGTTGTGATCGGCGAAATAACAATGCCTTTCAAGTGTTGTGTTCCCTTTTGTCGGGGGAATTATGTGGGTGGTTCAAAAGTTCATGCTTTTAGTTTCCCGTTGGACGAGGAGCTATCGAAAATGTGGGTATATGCAATTCACCGCGAGGATTTTACTCCATCTAAGTTCAGTAGTAAACAGAGCTTAATTTATAATGATGAATTAATAATAGAAGACAATTACTCTCTCATAAAAAGTATAAGTAGAGGAAAAATAGAAAAGCTTTGATTGTGCAGTTAGTTTTGTATTCGTATATTATAGTCAACAAAATCATCTCTGAATTCGAGGAAATTTTCTTGAATGTTCATAATAAACGGGCATTTTTAATTCTCATTCTCAAATATCTTTCTGAAAACGGTCATTCGCCTCGTGGCAATGAATGCAGAATTCATTCCAATGATCAAATTGCAACTATCATATTAACATGAACTACAAACACTCTACTTAAAAAGGTAAAACTGCATTTATCATTATATATATCATGAAGATATTTGACTAAAAAGTTTCAAATTTCACCTTCTTTTTCACCTGTCTTCTGGATGGCATTTAGAACAAATTTCCCTTCTTTTTTCATCATATTGGACAATTTATATATAATTCAACTATAAATATGATTTTCTTGAGATTAATCCATATTTAGTGAAAAGAAGGAAGAATATCATTCAAAATAATGGCGTGTGTAATGTCATTCGAAAGCAATCTATTGACATTTGACATCTCGATTTTGATTGACTATTGATTAAATGGTCGTCATCTGGAATGCTTGTTCACTAAATATGAAAAACTCGCCATAAAAATCATATTTCCTGTTGAATTTTCTATATAAAAATGTGCCATCGAAGTACATCATGAGTATATAAAGTGTCCAATGACAAAATAAGAGCAAGTAGCTTCAAATGCCCCCAACACAAGGGGAGAAAGAAGGCGAAATTTCGAACTTTTTCTTGAAATATCTCAATTAATAGTGGTTTGTTCATATTTTCATTATAGACCGTTGGCCCATAACACTAGGGGTGTCGATTATCTACGAAGGTATGCCCTTCAAGAGACATGAAGATTGAGTTGGATTATCGGGAAAAAAGTGGTTAGTTGGATCGGTACCCGGTCGCCCATCTTCCTAATCAATCAAATTCCTGTTGAAAGTAATGTTGAAAATTGTATTATAGAAGAAGCTTTAAAATTCATTGGAATAGTCGCATCTCGCCAAATTAACCGGGCGCTAGCCGATTTGCATACGTCTAGGTCGGTCCCGAAGGGCGGCATACGGACCGCAAGTTACCGTTAACCGACATTTCTCTTAGATTATTTACGATGGTATGCCCTTTGGTTAATTCCTTCATTTCGACCCATGAATCAATGCCATAACATTTGCATACAGTTTGGGTGGGCGAATTTAGACATATTCGAAGGTCACTTTACATCATTGACCTGTATGTACAAGATTATCTACGAAGCTCCCAAATTTTGATCAAGGTTAGTTAAGCATAAACTATGCATGGAATAATGATTTGCATACGATTTGCGAGTTGCGGGGATTACATTTAGCCCAGTAAAATTAGCAAAAATGGCGGCAAAATTCGTTCAACACCCTGTAAGAGACAATCAAATTCTTTCTAACTTTAGAACTTACACAAAACTCGTCCCGATTTACCCGTTTCAAGTTATTCGAGGTCGAAGTTTCGAAAAATCAGTTTTTGGTTCAAAAACCACTAAGAAACTAATTATTATGTCTATACGACGCGTCTGAACTGCCATCCTAAAAAAACTTTTTTTTCACGGATATTTGCCTAATTTACTGTTGATCTCCTAATTCACAGTTGCAACTGTAAATTAGAAAGGAGAATCTTTTTTTTTTCAAAACATCTCCTAATTCACAGTTGCAACTGTAAATTAGGGAATGTGTGAAAAAAAAGTTTCCCCTTCCTAATTTACAGTTGCAACTATTAACTATGCAAGTACTCGTGAAAAAAAAGTTTTTTCAGGATGGCAGTTCAAAAGCGTCATAGAGTTAGAACATCAATTTGAGAGTGAAATGGCAGAAAGTTCAAATTCTTCCGTATCTCTCTCTCTCTCTAATAGTTCCATCGATTGTTTTGAGATGTTTCTGTCGCTGCGACACATATTGGGTGTTCGAAAATATGCTGATTCATGTTAGAATTATTGGGATACTCGGGAACAATCTGATACGCGTGATACAGGAAGATCGTTATACGCCTTCTTGATGATGTTCGAGCCCCTCTCAGGGGAATATTACAATATCGTTCATGAAAATAACAAAAAACATGGGATCCAAGATTGATCCTTTAGGAAATCCCATTGTAACTCCAAGAGGATCAGATTCATAGAATCCATGCCGGTTCTGCAAATGAGATGCGCCCCCTGACATCCCCCCTAGAGTCATCCTCTATCATCCCCGGCCCCCGGCACTAGTAGTAGGTGCCAGATTCGAGCTTAGTGACCCCGAAACCTCCCTGAGCGCCCTTGGCACTCGATCATCCTGGAATTTCCAGTTTCAACTTTTTAATATTAGAAAATCTGAAAAAAATAGACTCCCTATAGCAAAATCGACGTATGCTCACCATACATTCGTATGCAAACGCCATTTTCTTATTCAGTATAACTGAATCTGTCACCTGATTGAATGGCATACAAAATTATATAATCTTGATATATATAATCGATGATGTAAAGTGACCTTCGAATATGTCTAAATTCGCCCACCCAAACTGTATGCAAATGTTATGGCATTGATTCATGGGTCGAAATGAAGGAATTAACCAAAGGGCATACCATCGTAAATAATCTGAGAGAAATGTCGGTTAACGGTAACTTGCGGTCCGTATGCCGCCCTTCGGGACCGACATAGACGTATGCAAATCGGCTAGCGCCCGGTTAATTTGGCGAGATGCGACTATTCCAATGAATTTTAAAGCTTCTTCTATAATACAATTTTTAACATTACTTTCAACAGGAAGTTGATTGATTAGGGAGATGGGCGACCGGGTACCGATCCAACTAACCACTTTTTTCCCGATAATCCAACTAAATCTTCATGTCTCTTGAAGGGCATACCTTCGTAGATAATCGACACCCCTAGTGTTATGGGCCAACGGTCTATTATAAAATTCGGTTTATCAGACAAAAATACGTGAGTACCGAAAAAAAATTTCAAAAAAAAACCATCGCATGATAAATGCAGTTTTACCCTTAAAAATTACTGTTTCAAGTGTAACGATCCACTTGGGCGAAAAATCCAACAACAGAAAATTGAAAACACTCACTGGTAATTTTTTCAGGTAATAGGAATTCTCCAAGATAAATATAGGTAATTGTAACAAACGGCATGTCAATCAAAATAAAATACATTTTCCACAATTTTCTTTCGATCAATCTCACGATAAGTTTATGTTCTGCGGGCCCTGTATAAGTAGGTGTGAAGTTTACCTCCACCACAATTTTTGCCAATATATTTAATTCGAATGGGTTGCTGTAGGTGGATATTTGTGTTTTATCCTGGTTTTTGCTTTAAAACTTCGTTTTTCCATAATAAAATCGAATGGGGTGCGAAGAAGGGCTCAGTTGACGACTGGCATCCTTTTTTAACCGGAAGCCCTTCAAAAAACAGCAAAATCGGCTCAATGATGATCTGAAACTAAAATCGAAATACGCGGTCGCCTTATAGCGCTATAAGCGCTTGTCGTTTCGAGCCGCTGGTTAGGCCTCACTAAGTGACGTCACTCACGGCACAGATCTCACGGAGAATGTAGGCCTTGTTGTATAACGGTAACGCTTGTGAGCGTGGTCTTGTCAGTTCTCAGCATTCACACAATGTTGCCGTCTTCAACATTCACATATTTTGTTATGGAGAATGAGAAATATTTGGACATGGTGCTTGCTCGCAAAAGTGAAGAATCAACTACCTATATTATCATTGTGAAAGATATATGTTACAAAAAAATTAGCATAAGAATGAGAAATATTTGGACATGGTGCTTGCTCGCAAAAGTGAAGAATCAACTACCTATATTATCATGGGTGCCTCCTATCATGTTTTATTCAACGACATGACTCAACATCTTTTTGATAACTTGATTATAATTATTGGTGACTTGACAACCTTCCTTCACGAGTGGAAATGGAAGATTATCTTACCAATAACGAAACCGCATAAAAACTGACGTCACCATTTATTCGACGTATCGCCAAATGGCGGCCATGAAGGTTCGTTTGAAATTTCGAACAACGCATAGATTGATTATTTACATAAAAAAAACCGTGAGAAGTGTTGTGAAAATTAATTTAGGTTCCTATATAACGACCCAGTCGAGTAATTAAAAGCCAATGGTTCATCATCAGTTATTGTGAAATGATGTGAATAAATATCCGACTCAACTATTTAACTGTTTCTAATTTATTTATCTCATTGTGAAAGATATATGTTACAAAAAAATTAGCATAGGATCTTGGAAAAAAATATAGTGTATTTCAAGATAACAAGCATGGAAATATGGGATAACCAAATGTAAATTCCTTTCTAGAAATGTTTCAATGTCATCAAAGATCACCTAACTCAAAAAGTTAGGTCTCTATATGCACTCCTGAAAGTCTAACAACCTTGGAAATGCTAACAAGTTTCACTTCAATGTCCCTAATTCAAATTAGCATAAATAACACTGGTGTCAAATTTTCTTCTTATGTGATGTACCGTCGCTCTCTGATTCTTCTGTCTTTTCTTCACTCGCCATCTCGCATTCCACATTCTCATTCTTTTTCTTGATCCACTTACCACCAGTGTAGCCAGCAATGGCGCATCCTAATGCTGCTATCCCACCTACTTTAAGTCCAGCTACTAATCCGATGGGACCCCCAATGATGCCACCAAGGAAAGCTCCTGTAACTGGATAGGCAACTGCCGTTAATCTAGAATGAAAATTACTCATGTAAATTGTTAATTGATTAAAAACTATTTGCACCAATGTGAAAGATCATTCCTTGGAAATGATGATAAGTATACATAACCAGTTGTATAAAGTGAAATATTACCTAACTGGTGAAATGCCGTTCGTTGCAACACCAGTTCCAGGCAACCAGATGACGTTCCAGTGACGTATTTTTTACGTCACTTGAATTACCAAGGTGACGTCAGTAGTTGACGTCGCATTGACGTGATAATGACGTGAATAAGTCACAGCCCAATGACGTCATATTACTAACGTCGTATTGACGTCATTCACTCACCAAACTGTGACGTCCGACTGACGTCATAATGACGTCAAAATGACGATTGAATTTGGCGATGATACGTAAAAAAGATTCCTTTAACATGGTGTGATGAAAACCACTAGCCTCTGATGACATTCTATAATATTGATTATGCATTGTTGAGTCTGATGCTTGGTGGGTCCCTCCTGTGTCATGTTCATTCAATCGCCTATTCAGCAGCGCCATCCTTCAGTACGCGTCTCCATCAGAATGCAATCAGTTACTCGTATTTGTATAAAAAACTATATGTAGTTTGTGTCGGCGAGATGTAAGCAAACAAAGAATAGTTTGATAGCAATGAAAAGGATGTTGGCGAATTTGGCTTCACTTTGTTAAATGATGCATATTGATGCATTGTTTGTCACCCAACAAAAATCTAAATAGCAAATTATTGAAAAATTTACTAAATGACGAAGCTCACCAAATTGGTACGTCACACCGACGTGATTTTTAGACGTCATAGATACGTCACTGCAACGTCATGAGAGTAACGGTTTCAATATAGGTATATCTGAACAATCATTTTTATATATACATAGCTTGTTGGTATCCGAGATATAAGTACAGTTTTTTAGAAAAATGTTTTTCTGCTACTTTTCGGGTATATTAATAATTAGAATAAAACTTGCATGTTGATTTTCTTCCATGAGTTATACTTCTGTTTCACATGATAATATATAAGTATCCATGGTTTAGAGAAGGTCTGGGAAAAATGGACGTCGACAGGACGTCCCTGCAACGTCATGAAACTGACGTCTTCTTTTACCCATCTAAGTGACGTTCACTCGACGTCGAAACGATGACGTGATTATCACGTCATAGAAAGTACGTCATAGTGACGTCATAAATTAGTGTGTGACGTCTCTGACGAAAAATCACCAATTAGGGACGTCACAGTGACGTGATCATTCGTCATCTGGTTGCCTGGGATACGGAAAAAAAATATGGATGGACAAATAAAATAGTGCATTTTCTGAATTCTGAACTTGAATCTGTCATTTTCCGCTGATGAAAATATCAAACGCTAGTCTATTCCGTAAATTTTTTCGATGATTTGTGACCATTTTATTTGTTTGACGGATACTTCTAAGAGTTCCAAATGACGTGCCAAGTCTTGCCTACTAAATTTTGTACATTATCGGTAGAACTTGTTTGTCACGGGCTAATGCCAACTGCAGTTATTCATATATCTGTATATCATTCCCGTGACAGTGAATACCTATCCTTATTCATTGCATAATCCAATACACTCATGTAAGACTGGCCATTTTTTCTGTGGAACCAAAATTTTTCATCAAAATTATAAAAAAATATTAGTTAGGAAACGGATTTTGTGTAACTCTGTGTTTTGAGGGATCTCGCTTTGCTCGTCTCGCAAAATCCCATTATCACATAAAAATATATCTATAATTCCCTTGATAAACAAACTGATAATTTCAACAACAATAGTAAGGCTTCGGACGTTCAATGTGTACTAATGTCTTCGTTGCGTAAGTATAGTCAAATGCAAAGAAAATGTCGCGGTTGGATGGTGTTACCGCTCGTATTGCAGAAGTGACTAGAGGTGCTATTACCGCCTATGTGCGACATGTTCATTGCATCTGACTGTACATGAATCAGTCCTTCGATTCATATAAAATATGTGCAATTTCAACTGACAGCACCTTCCTATTTCTGAATCCCTGGACCGATTTTCAAAAACAAAAAGTTGATGATATAGTACTCAATGAGCTAGCTCTCTTCGGAACTAAATGAGCTTTCTTCGTAACTGTAACATATGAAGCAATATGTTTTTGACCCCAAAAAAAATGAAAGAAATTTTCTCTCAAACGGGAGGCGTTTGAAATTTGTGAAAAAATGCACAGCTTTGATCATCATCCTGTAGAATCTCATCCGGAAAAGATGAAATAGTCATATTCATAGGTTCGATAGTCAATGAAACGAGCTTTGAGAAACTGGGAAATAATTAAAAATCGGTTGAGGAAATCAAAAGTTATGATGATTGAATATGTAATTTCGTCTTCAATTTTCCTTGTCGATTTATGTCATTTATGAACAACTCTATAATTATTATTCTTTTGTAAAAGTAAAGTTTGATGGTATTGCAGTAGGCAGAAAGGATATTATGAGGGTTGGCTTGGCTTTTTGGTTTGCGAGTGGTATAGTAGATCCAAAGTCAGTTGGAGCAGCTCGAGAAAACATAACATACAGGGTGTCCGGAAATTATGCGCAAAAAATCAAGTGGGTGATTCTACATGATGAGATAAAAAATTCTTTTTTTATGTATGTGGGTCCGGAAATGCATAGTTCTCAACATACAGTGTGTTAAAACTTTTAAACAAGATCGGTTTTTTATGAATATCTCAAATGTCCTTCGACCAATTTCCTTGAAATTCGGCAATGATATCCTTTGTCATGAGGGGCTGAGGGGCTGATATAGCCATAATTCAATTGGAATCATAAAATACAGTGGCGTCCGGGGGGGCAAACTACCGAATATTATTGTCAATAAAATGTGCGCCGATTTATTTGAATTCTGTACCTTCATAACCTATTGACCAACTTGAAATACAACATTTCGGTCACCTGACTTATTTTGATAATTTGCTTCATTTCCATGGAAAAAAAAATAATTACCAATTTATCGCATAAATTTGTGCCAAAGAATTCCTTCAAAAACTGAGGTGAAAATGATTGCGGCATCAATGTCCATAGATAGATAATGAGTATGAAGATTAATTTCCTTCAAATATTCCTTGATACATGTTTGACACACTCTACACTCTGTATATTGAGAACTATGTATTCTCAGTCAAGGAAGGCGTAGTTTTCGATAATTCAAAGTGTGTCGAACATATGTATTATGAAATATTTGAAGAAAATGAATCTTAATTCTTATTATTCGGCTATGGACATGGATAACACATTTGATTTCACCCCTGTTTGTGAAGCAATGTTTCGCACAAATTTATACAATTAATTGGTTTTTATTTTTTTCCACAGAAACGCAGCAAAATTGCAAAACAATTCAAGTGACTAAAATGTTGTATTTTAAGTTCATCATTAGGATATAAAGATAGAGAATTCGAAAAAATCAGGGGCGCACATTTTATTTACAAAAATATTTGGTAGGGTGCCCCCGGGATGCCACTGGATTTCACAATTCCAATTTAAAAATGGTTAAATCAGCCCCTAATGACAAAGAATATCATAACCAGATATCAAGAGAATTGGTGAAAGAATATTCGAGATATTCATAAAAAAAAAACATTTTTTCTAAAAAGTTTAACACACTGTATCTTGAAAACTATGCATTTCCGAACTGAAGTATATATGAAATAAATTTCATGTTTTCTCATGCAGAATCACCCCCTTGATTTTTTGCGCATAATTTCCGGACACCCTGTATAGGTACCCAACGCGGTTTCGTTTCTTTTGAAGCTCGTTTGAATTCCGTGCACGAGGTAGACATTCACAGATTGGTTTTTTTCAATGCAACATTTTTTCACGCCATGTATGATGAACATCAATTCATTGTACAACTGAAAAACGCTCCAACTGACTTTGGATAGGCTATACCTAATATTCAAATTGGAAATAACAGTTTAAGGGTAGTTGAAAGTACAAGACTATATTCGAACCAATAAGGTATAGGAACATAATATTTATTATAAAATGAGATATTATGGGTAGTAATTAAATGAAATAAACAACAATGAATATGAATACCTAATAACAACTTACATTCCCTAACAACACAGGGATGGTCACAAAATGGTAGATAGCGGAAGAAAAACAACTACTTTCCTGGCTATATGCCACGCAGAACATTGGATTACATCCTCCCGAAATCTATGCAATAATTCGTATAGACGAATAAAATCGCAAGCGTTTCCTTCCTAAACGCTGAGCTGCACTTAAGTGGTTCAGGAACGCGTTACTACCTGCAGACCGGTTTCGAACTGTTGGCTCTCATCAGTGCAGGGCTGTCTCAGATTACTTTGAGTTTCTCTCTTTGTGACCATGGCATTCCACTTTGAGTATTTGGCTTTTTCCTAGTTGAAAATACGCCAGCTAGGTGGCGTTCGTGTTTTCATTTCACGGACTTCGAACGTCTCATGTGGTATAAATGCTGAGATGCGTTTACGTTGGATCATGTTCGCACCAGATAGCGGTCAAGAAGACGTACCAGAAGGACATCACTTGTATGCCATTTTTGGCGGCCAGCGGATATCACTGGGACATCTCTAGTATGTACTTTGTCCCGACAAAGGGTATCCCTGGGATGTCCTAGTATAAAATTAGGTACGTCCCTAGGATGTACTCGTGTTGTTAGGGTTATGATTACCATCACGGCGAAGTCAAGAGTGGCCTCAAACGGTTTTAATTAATCTATGATCAGGCTAACTTCGGCACCCTCATTGAGAGTTCCTTGGCCAGTATTCATAGTGAGTGTCAACGGATAATTTGATTAACTAAACTTTTATGGAACCCTAAAGATTCGAACTCACTAAAATACCGTTTTATTCCTTTCAACCAATTAGAGGTGTAATTCACAAAGATGTTATGTTTTCTAAATTACTTCTTAGACACCTGAGTAGATCTTATAACCATATTTCATCAAAATAAAGCCATTAGAATATTCAAGCTTCCATAATGTTGCTTCTATATTGGTAGAGGTTTTTAGGTTGGCAACTTGGAGCAGTCTCCCATTGAGACAATTTTCAAATTAACTGTTTGGTGAAGTGAGTGATAAATGGTTTTCTCGAGTTGTCGAAGTGGTGAACCTCAAATTTAATTCTATTTATTATTGGACGACCTCTAATTTACAATTTTCGTAATGAAAAACTGCCTAATAGTCTTTGAAATTTCGACCCCTTCAACAGACAATAGTAGGCCTTGAGAATCTGAATATTTCAAATTTGTTCACATTTCCGAAGAGAGCTAGTTCATTGAGTACTATATTATCGAATTTTTGTTTTTGAAAATCGTTCAACGAATTCCAGATCAGGAGAGTGTTGAGAGTTGAAATCGCACATACTCTTGACTGTATATCCTCTACCGATATCCTAGGTGTCTCACAAATAGTACTTTTTGGCCACCATTACATCCCAAAAATGAAGTCACCCACCTTTTAAAAGTTCATTTAAAACATCTACAGTAAACAAAATTATCAAAATCAATGAAAATGAAGGTTTTACAGGCGTCTGGTGATTCCTTAAGATCACGTTTTTATAAGGTGATTCATTAAAAAGCTACTCATGGTGGTGCGGCGCCTATTAATATATTCTTTTATGAATATCTAACAAATAAACGTCACATGAATTCAAAATGTTGAAAATTTGAATTTCAGATAGAAATGTGATCTTCGTAGGTCATACAGAAGTTTTCCAAGTTGCTATTGGATTATAAACTTGAAAACTCACTTGAAAATTATTAAGCTGTTATAATCGATCTTTTTCAATATAACTGATATATTTTTAGTCCCCTCCAGCATTAAGGGGTGTTCTAAAAGTAACCAACAACTGTTTTATTTCAAATTAAAACTTAATTTTTTTTCACACGGTTCGATTGGCCTTCTAATTCTGAGTTTAGAAAACCTAAATTTATGTTAACATATCTATCACATATTTCGAAATATGTCGATTTTTCTGAAAATATTTTCCTCCCCAGCAGTTTACGAAAATATTTTCGTTCGAAATTAGACCAAAGTCGATTTTCAATTCGCATTGAAAAATTACCGAAAACTCAACTTTTTCAAAAGACACCTACCATTTTTTGACACCATATGAAAGAAAATTGAATTCCAGGATGAGTTGCTTGAGTATTTACTATTCATTGAACGCCCGGAAATATTACGAAGGTGATTAATACTTCCGGTGCTTCTGACCAACCTGTTGAGAAATGCTCAGGAGACCACTGAATTTCATGTGATCCAAAATATTTTTTCACAGATGTACTTCAATTTCGTTTTGTTCTTTTGCCTTCTATTCACACTTCATTTATAGTTTCCATTTCAGAAACACCCTGAATAAATACTGATTTATAGATGAACCATAAATTAGGAGATGTGTAGGAAAAAGTTTTAATGGCTTAATTTGCAACCAACTGTAAATTAGAACAAATTTAGAGTTCCAACCATAAATTACGTTAAGATACGTGAAAAAATTGTTGAAAACTTGATTTCGGATGGCAGTTCAGAGTCATTGAGTTTGTCATGTGAATTAATCAACAGGCACCAACATCTGTTTTGTTCTATCTAGTACGGGAATATCACTTTCAATTTAAAAGTGTCCAATTTGGCCCACCCTGTACATACTTATGAGCTTTCCTCAAATGGTTTGTTCCACTTTCGACATTTTGTTGTACTTCATCAACATTCCTTGCCACATTCTCAACGTCGTCTCCTTGTTTATCGATGATTCCATTGAGATTTTGGTACATCTCATGAAGGTCTTCCACATCCCTGTGGATGCTCTCTACATGTGATAGTTGCTCTTGTTGCTCTTTCAATTTCAGTTCATCGATATTCTCGAATATTTGTATTTGACTAGCTTCTTCAAAAGGATGGCTGTTTTCATTCATTGATTTAGAGCTTGGTTCTGTTTGACTAATTTCGATTTTATTGGCTGCTTTTTCTAATTCTGGAATCATACCAAAATTATATAAGGAGAAATTTGGGAGAATAATACTTTGGTAAAATTTAGAAATAGTTACCTGAATATCCACTGACTAGATTTATTAAAATTTTTCGCAATGATAATGTTTTTGAGTCAAACTTATCAAGATCTTCATCTTCTACTTGTGTCCTCAGAGTATCTAATTCATACATAAGATCCCTTAGCTGTTTTATAGTCCTTTTCTTATCCTTGGTTTCTTTTTTAAGTTGTTCAGCATCACTGACTGATATCAACTAGAAAATGTAATGTGCTATTAGGTACTCACTATCTTCACACTAATTCTCTGCCATTTTATTTGACAGCCTATGATGATATGGTAACTTTGGAACCCTCTGATTGTTACGTAAGATACAAGGATTTTTATGGATTAGAAATTCACATATTACTTCGTTGGTACACTGAGGAAATTGATATGACTGAAGAACAGGTCATACCATTTTGATTCACAGGTTGGTACAAATTTTTAGTACGTAGAATTAGGGGACAAGTAGGGAAGAGTGGTGTATACAGGGACTTTTTTTCGTAAACCACTAATAGTCCAGTTCCCAGAGGATTTCATCTTACAAAAGATGGGGTAGAAGATTTTATTTTTTTATTTCGTTTGTATGAGTATGGAGAGTGGAATATAACAAATGTGACTAAATCTGGACTCGGCACAACTTTTGGTGCCGAAAAACCTCGAAGTTTTCGGACATTTTTCGGTTTTTTGGCAATATGTCCAAAAGGAGTGGTTCTAGCGAAAAATAGTCCCTATACAAAGTTTTAGAGAATTGAATTCCCTAGGAATTTTTTTCTTTTAAGACCAATAGGGAGCGAGCTACAGCATCTCAAAGATGGACCATGTTTCTCAAAATGGTAAAAAAGCCAAGTAACGCCTTCTTTTGTGTGAGTTATTGCGGCCCATGCATTCTTTGGTTGTATTTTCGAATTATATCATATTGTGGTCCGATAAGGTTCTCACGGCAGTTTGTAGAGCGATGTTAGGGTAAAGTTAATATTGCTCGGTTGCCATCCACTCCTGATGCTGCTGCTCCAAATTCAAGTTTAGCTGGGTGCCACACACTTGAACCCCAAAAATTATGGGTGGACCAGAAGTCTATAGGGCCTGATTCTACAGCATGCAACGAAGGACCCAGCACCCACTCGAAAGTGTATTGTGCACTTGCAGATCTGGATGTCAGCGAGCCTGCTCGTGCGTCAAAGCCGGGTTGGAATGTCCCACTGTACTCTTCCGAACTGGACACAGATGGTGAGGAAGAGGAAGATACATTCACCTCATCAACCATGGATGAGGTTCACGAGGACCCACCCATCATGGCACCTGTTCGTGAGGAATCAGGACCGTCGAAACGCCTAAGAAGGAAGTGAAGTGATAGGTTAACTCCACTTTCCATTGGTCAATTTTTCAATGTTTTCATTGTAATGAAATACTTCACTTGTTCAATACAAGCTTTTTCCATGCACATGTTTCCTCACTCTCTCGTTTCCTTTATTCCTTCCGTTGGTGATTAATTTTGTGATGGAAGGGCTCACAGAAAAGTTATAGATCATTCTACTTACTTGGCTACGTTACCTGGCTTTTTTACCATTTTGAGAAAAATGGTCCATCTTTGAGATGCTGTAGCTCGCTCCCTATTATTCGTGAAAGAAAAAGTTCTGTATAAAACTTTTGGGAAATTAATGCTCCACAACTTTGTATGGAAACTGTTTTTCGCGAGAATCACTCCTTTTCGACATATTGCGAAAAAACCGAAAAATGTCCGAAAACTTCGAGGTTTTTCGGCTACCAAAAGTTGTGCCGAGCCCAGATTTAGTCACATTTTTTATATTTTACTCTTTATACTCATTGAAATGAAGAAGAAAATCTTCTACCCCACCTTTTGTAAGATGAACCCCCTTTTTGGTCTCTGAGAACTGGACTATAATTCATAGATCGTTTAGTCGGAAGATTTCAGCTTCTGGCAAATTAAAGTATTCTCTTTTCAATGCTTAATCATTGATATTCATTCATCACAATAATTGCAAAAACCACCACCAAGTTTTTCATTCCAACTGAGGAATATACAAATTAATGAACATTGTTCGATGTGGAATAAAATGTCAATGATGATCCTAACTGAAAATTTGATATCTTTTCGATATAGTTATATTCCTCTTCTTCAAACATTCTTCAAAACAAGGTGTCATACGAATTAATGAACATTGTTTGAGGTGGAATAACATTTGAAAGAGGATCCTAAGTGAAAATTTAATATTTTTGCGATATATATATATTCCTCTTCTCTAGACAACTTTCAAAACAAGGTGTCACTGACTATCTAATCGTGAAATTTCTAAACGCAGTGACATTTTGTGGCGTAATAATCTGATTTGTGGCTACTGCACTGAATCAGTTAGACAAATTTTCAATGATCAACTCCTTCGCCCGAGCCTTCGCCCATTTGCAAAACCAAAGACAAAACAGTATTTAATAGTCACGATGGTATTTTGAACCTACATAACATGCACCATTGGAGTAATGAAAATCTGCATCAAACTGTAATTCAAAGTCACCAACACGGGTTTTCTATCAATGTGTGGACAGGTATAATCGACAATCACTTAATTGGCCCATTTCGATTGCCCAATCGATTGACAGGTGCACTGTATCGAAATTTCTTGGAGAATGATTTAAATACATTATAAGAGGATGTTCCATTGGCCATTATTGGAAGAATGCATTACATGCAAGATAGGGCGCCAACTCTTTTTTCTCGAGTGGCAAGGGAATATTTGGACAGGAGATTTGGAAATACGTGGATTGGTTGAGGGGGGGGGCCTGTACACTGGCCAGCTCGTAGTCCCGACCTTAATCCCCTCGATTTTTTATTTTGGGGATCTATGAAAAATTGAGTTTATGCAGTAGAGATATATAATGAAGAACAATTATTATGGAAAAGAATTATGGAATCGGCAGATAGATTTCGTAATAGCCCCGGAATATTTCAAAGATGCCGTCAATCATTGAAAAGGAGAATGGAAAAATATATTGAAGTACAAGGGCAACAATTTGAACATCTTCTGAAAAATTAAATTGATCATATTTTTCATCATACCATTACAATGTGATGGCGCTTTTTGGATAATTTGCGTGCACTGTTGACTTTTAGATGCATTTGCACTGGAACCATTGCTTCTAGCGACTTGGACAAGGTATAACTTTTCTCATGTATAAAAGAAGGCATAACAAATTTATTCAGTCGAAAATGACATACAGTGTATAGCAAAAAAGTTCCGAATCAATAGGGATGGAACGCTGTATGTAGCGACCTCTATCAGTAATCACAAAACTTAGATCATATTTGAATTTATCATGATGAAAAAATCGTGTACACTACATTTTATTCATTTCTTGCGTCTCTGGCTAAATATATTGAAAACCTCCCCCCCCCCCCAAAATTAAAATTCAACACCCCGTATCTTTTGACCGAAGGCCTTGGTAACCCCTGTTCATGGCCATTTTTTTTTCTTATTTTAGTGTCCTCTATTGTGTGGCAATATGCAATGTACTTTTTTCTATCTCACCCTGTATATATATTATGAACATGAAAGAAATGAGAACACATGAAGAAATACATTGATATAAGAGAAAAATCTTTTATACAGAAGTCTCCACAGAAGGTCTTTCAGTTTTATTTTGATATAAAATCCTGGATGAGTGGAGTAGAGTTATCTGTGACTATGTGAGTTAAAGACTTCAGCATTTTCTATATTTATTATGAAATTGTCTCAGACAATATAAGAATAACTGAATGGGGTTGTACTGTACAGGGTGGCCAACTAAGAATCCAGAGTTCAATACCTCTGTTGTCTTGAGAGATACAAGAACAAATTTTGCATTCAAATTAAAGTGATAACCGAGCTTCACATTTCAAAATTTCTTTGAAATACACAGGGTGTTCCGTATGGTCACAGAACATCAAAGCTATGTTTTTTTCATTGGAACACCCTATATTTTATTTCATTTTTGAATTCTCCCTGAAGATCTGATTTCAACGATTTATCATACTTAGGGTCTAGCAGTGGAAGTTACTGACAAATAGAGTGTGCAAAATCGAGATTTTCCAAGTTCAGGATTTTTTTTGTCGAAACTATTCATTATTCGTCAAAACGGTTTACATATCCCTATCTCAACTTTTCACTCACTATCAATTATTGGTGTTCAATTGACATTTAATTAAAACAAATTATAAATTTAGATTTTTTGACCACCTTGTATCAATTTCAATTGAACACCAATTGATAGTGAGTGAAAAGTTGAGATAGGGAAATGTAAACCGTTTTGACGAATAATGAACAGTTTCAACAGAAAAAAACCCTGAACTTGGAAAATCTTGATTTTGCACACCCTATATGTCAGTAACTTTCACTGCTAGACCCTAAGTATGATGGATCGTTGAAATCAGATCTTCAGGAAAAATTCAAAGATGAAATAAAATATAGGGTGTTCATATGAAACAAACATAAATTTGATATGCTGTTACCTCATGGAACACCCTGTATATTCCAAAATAATTTTGAAATGTGCAGCTCGGTTATTACTTCAATTTTGATACATGACTTTTTTTTTGTATCTCAAGACAACAGAGAAATCGAACTCTGGAGTCTTAGTTGGCCACCCTGTACATACTAGTCGAATTTACACAACATATTTTTTGTGATCTTTCCACATTAATATTATTTGATAGGAGATTTGATGAAACTATTTTTCATCTAAAATGATCACAAATACTCTTTTCAATAATTAATTTAAGTCGTCACGTCGTCACCTTTCAAAAACAGTACATATAGATGACATGCAGAGCTGGGCCGGGTACTGATAAATTGTACTCGAGTACCGGGTACCGGGTACTGTTTATAATTGAAGAACGAGTACAGAGTACCGAGTACCCCACTCATTGGATGTACTCAGAGTAAAGTACTCCGAGTACAAGTACCCGAATTTCACGGGTACTCATTTCAAGTACATTTGAATAGAGAATTGAGAAATTTTGCATCAGTATTAGTAACCGTATTTATCAAACAAAACAACTTAACTTGCAATACTATACCCTTACCTCTTAGTTTAGTGTGGTTTAGTCTTAAGAAAACAACAGAAACGATAGAAAAAACACTTGACTCTATAACTGTTACACAGTGTACAAAACAAAAACTCCGCGTTTGGTTCTGATTGAAGTGCTGACTGATAATGATGATATAACATATAACAGCGGTTTCCCGTGTTGCACTCGCATATGCAGAGACAAGTTTATTCCTGCAAAAAGTACCCGAAAAATGTACTCGTTCAATAAACGCGGGTACCGGGTACTTTTCCCGAAATGCTACGGGTACGAGTACCGGGTACTTTATTGAAAATGTACTCGGGTACTGGGTACTGAGTACACAAAATGTACTCAGAGTACAATATTTGAGTACTTGTACTCGAGTACTGCCCAGCTCTGATGACATGATACAACAACAACAACAAGCACCATATGTTTTATGATTTTCAACAATCAATTAGAGAATTTCCTTCCAATACACACTACATATCAAATATAGTAACAATGACATAGGAGAGAAGGAAAGCTCAAAATCATCTCCACACTATTTCAATGTTGTAATTATTCAAGGGGACATGTTTCGGACCTATAGAAGTCCATCTTCAGCTCAATTTAGAAGTTACTACAAATAGAGACAAGGTGAAAATACCTATCAGAAAAACCCAAAATTTGACTTACATGGAGGTGAAACATTTTTAAATGTTGGTGCCAATATCTATCAACATCATAATATACTTGTTACAATTTGAGAATAAATGCGTTTTCATGAAAATGAAGGGCCCCGTGCACTGAGAGGGTGACTATTATGATCAAGTGTCATGTCCTCAGAGGAAAGGTTGATGAGCAATTGCAAAGCAATACCCACAAGAAACCATTGTTTTATAAGAAAGCGCTACTGTATATCAAAAAACAATAACAGTACAGTGGCGCTTTTTACAATGTTTCACCTCAAAGTCAAATTTTGGTTTCTTCTGATAGGTATTTTCATCTTGTCTCTGCTTGTACTAACTCCTAAATTGGGCTCAAGATGGACTCCTATAAGTCAAAAACATGTCCCTTGAATAATTACAACATTAAAATAATGTGGGGATGACTTTGAGAGCTTTCCTTCTTCCCTATGAAAAATTCTACTCCACTTTGAGCAAACATGGACTTCTTCATAGTTACATTGAATTGGTCACTGTGTATGTCATATGTTTTCCCATGTACTTCATGTTATGAAATATCATGGATTTGAAAACGTAGGGAGCCCTGAGGAAAAAAATCGGGAGAAACACCAGGGAGAAACTGATTTGTGACAGAGAACTAGTTTTGGTCTGTACATCAAAATAATGGGATACAATTTTCCACTGGAATCCGCAAATAGGTTCATTGTACTAAAGGTATACTAGACCTTTAAATTAACAATATTCAATATGAGCCAGCTTGCTTTGTATAAATATTGTTTATGAGGGAGACAGACTGTAGAGAACAGAGCTGAGGAGAAAATGGTTTCTAACAGTGGACTAGTTTGTTAGTATTTCAATATAATGGAATAATTATTATTACACTTCCTCTAGAAACCCCAGAAAATTTTCACATAAAAAAATGTTAAATATTTGGCATGAATTTCTCCAGGGATTGAATGTTATAGGGTGTTGCTGTATTATTTATTGTACTAGAAGTTTCATTATCTAAACATAGCCCACCATCGGTCAGATGTATCTGAATATGGGGGATAATCAATTTAATACATAAATATTATTAAACTCTCAACCTCCCAACCCAACTTCACCACTCCTTGATCTCCACTGTGGTGCTAAAATATATGGAATAACTTGAGTTTTCAGATCTTGAGAGACTTCTTTCTGTACTAGGTGGAGGTAGTACCTACCTTGGGTAGGTGCTTTTGGAGTTGCTTTCATTGTTCAAGAAAAAACCAGGGTATATTTTATGAATAGGCACAATAATCTGTAATAAATAACCTACATTGTGTAGTATTTAGGAGTTGAAAACTTTGTCGCTTGTAAAGGACATTAGAATATCTACTTACTTTGTTTATGGTTGCTTTATATTGCTCATAATTGTTTTGATGGTGGGGCACTACTTCATCAGAGAATTTTCTCAATGGTATTTCAATGACTTTGAAAGGTTGTTTAACGATGCTGGGATTCAAAACGGTAGCCATTTGGTAGGTTCTCATAAACGAAGGTATTATTTAAAATTTTCAGGTAATAAATCGTGAAATGAATGTAAACAAAGACACAGATGATTTTGATTTTGATTATAATAAGTTGATTATTTATTTTGATTTAGATGACTGGCGGATTTGACTTTGACATTTGACACGAATCACGGATGTAGATTGTAGAGGACTAGAGTCACTGGATGTTATTAGTTTGATAAGAGTTCGGACACAGAAATGACAACGGTTAGGGTTTTTGAGTGTTTAGATTTATTAAGTTTCACACCTTGCATTGTGACAAGAGCACCATAGTCGTCCCGCGCTTTTACATTCAAAATTGTTTGAATTTGACAATACATTTTATAAACGTCAGAATTGAAATAAAATTTCATAATTATACATTCGAGATTAAAGCAGCTATGGAAATCACTTGCTGTGTAATAAATTGTGCCAATCTGAGGAAAATGGATATCATTTATTCAATTTTCCGAAATATCAACCATTTGCTTATGGAAGGAAGATATGAAATGGCCTGATGGGTGCAAAATCAATTTGAAGACGAGCGAAATTTGTGAGGTACTCATCAAAATTCACTTTTTATAACAGCATCTGATTAGAATGAAACTATATTTTAGGCCCATATTCAAACAGAAGATTTCAAATTCTGTTTGTGGGAATCTGCTGTTCCATCAATTTACGAAGCAGGCGATTTCGAGAACAAATTTCCATTATTATTATCATCACACAAAATACAAAACGAAACGATCATGGAAAAGAGGAAATGATCGCAAAATTACATAATGAAATTGAGAATTTGAAAACGAAACTAAGAAAAGCAAGTAAACTATAGAGTGATATATTATTGAATGGCGTTTTTGGTGCCGACCAAATTTAAAATTCAACAGTGGACAGTGGATAGTTATTTATGTATCAAGGGAATTGTTATAAGGGCCTTATAATTACGCTGGAGTTTAATGTTTTGGAGATATTTTCTATATCGATCCATGATTACTTATTAGCTCCTAGGGAGTTGCTGAGAACTTCACAAAACCAAGTATTTGGTAGGTCTCGTCAAAATAAACTACTTTTTTCCTATCAAATGTTTATCGAAAAATGATTTGTTCTTTGTATTTCAGCACTCTGTATCTACGAAATGATGCATTTTCGGACACAAAAGCTTATATAGACTTTATTTCTTATAATTGTCTCAGGAATACTTCACTTGAAAGTACTTATGTTACTTCCTGTATATTGAGAATATCTATCTATCATGTTTTATACTCATCACTGGAGTACATAGTTTCACATATAATGAGGAATTATAGCTATAAGTTCATCCATATGTGTATATTTTCTAATATTAGAATGTTGTTACATGCATTCTTTTCATTTATATAACAGTTGTTCTGTTAGAAGTGTATCACTATAAATTGAATTGGGTGTTTGTACCCTATACCCATCGTCCATCTACGGCTATGATTGATTTGACAGAAAATATAACCTCTAAAATCGTATCTGACAATCAGGCACTACTAGGGAAATTGAAAAGACAAAGAGCCGAATATATGTCTTCTTTTATTCACCTAAACCATTGTATTATAGAAAATAGAAAAGGACAAAAGTTCAGCTGTGTCCGAACTCTTATCAAACTAATACCATCCAGTGACTCTATAGAGGACGAAGGTTCGTAATGTTGGTAGGCTAATAAGGCGATTCATGCTAAGGAGTACGCCCCCTACCGTTTACGATTATAACTAACGCATGGGCCATAGAATCGTTTGTTTACATTATCTGCCATATGCCATATATGCTTACTGTTGAATTTCTTTATAAGCCATTTTTCCTCGAAGTTAACCACACAAACCGGGTCAACAATGAGTTAACCAATTAATTTTCCTCGAATTGTATTCCAAACTATGACGTAATAGTAAACCAACCATACAAACCAGCTCACTGAGGTAGTTCACGGAGTAGTTGAGGTTTTGATTGGTCACTGGATTGGGCTCTTGTTGTTGTTATAATCTGAGATTATATAATTCTTGAGAAAAAATAATTATACTTTTCAAAGAGATAATTATATGGATTCATACGAAGTATTTTTTTAATTAAAGATCTCATCATATTGATGAAAATAAATATTTGGTTCATTGTAAATATGTGTACGCAGCGAATTGTTGTAGTAGGTAAGCACCTAGTTCCTATCTTCGATATATTTTTTTCACTGATGATGAATTTCTCATTCAATATATCAGTATTACTACTATAATCAAACAATAAACAAAAACAGCTGATGAACTAATATCTGTCAAGCTTCAAAAGTAAACCGTGACGTCATGATAACGCTACCGTGACGTCATCATAAAGTTAACCTGGTTTGTCTGGTTAGATTCGAGGAAAAATGACTATAATAGTCATTTTTCCTCGAATCTAACCAGACAAACCAGGTTTACTTTATGATGACGTCACGGTAGCCTTATCATGACGTCACGGTTTACTTTTGAAGCTTGACAGATGTTAGTTTATTAGCTGTTTTTGTTTATTGTTTGGTTCTAGTAGTAATACTGATATATTGAATGAGAAATTCATTATTTGTGGAAAAAATATATCAAAGATAGGAACTAGGTACTTACCTACTACAAATTCAAGAAAATTTTAACAATTCGCTGCGTAATATTTCATTGAAAAATACTTCGTTTGAATCCATAATTATCTCTTCCAGAAGAATACTTATTTTTTCTCAACAATTATACAATCTCACATTATAACAACAACAAGAGCCCAATCCAGTGGCCAATCAAAATCCTTAACCACTCCGTGAACTACCTCAGTGAGCTGGTTCGTATGGTTGGTTAAATATTACGTCATAGTTTGGAATACAATTCGAGGAAAATTGATTGGTTAACTTATTGTTGTCCCGGTTTGTGTGGTTAACTTCGAGGAAAAATGGCTAATAAAAGCGTTTAGTTTGGTTTAGTTTTTGCTTAAAAGTTGAATAACTTCATCGAAAAAATGAATCATTATTGTTGTGTACCTCACTGCTCTTCTTGGGCGAAGAAAAACCCGGAAATCAGTTTCCACACCTTCCCAAATATTGGCAAATCCAGAGTTCTGTTCCAAACCAAATTAGGTAACAAAGAATTGATGGACAGAAGAAAAGTGTGGATTAAAAACTTGAAGATTGGGAAACCAGTTTCTGCTCATATGAGAGTATGTTCTTTACACTTCACCCGACAGGACTATTTCCCTAAAGGTTGGTTGAATTTAATTCCAATGTTGGCTTTTAAATATTGAACTTATGATCATATTTTCAGAAGACAGAAAACGAAGAATTTTGAAATTGAATGCAGTACCTACTAAAAAATTACCACTTGTTCCTGAAGCAGAAGCTGGACCATCTTCTAGAGATATAAGAGCATCTGGTTCTAGACATTCTACTGTGAAGTTGAAGGAGAATACTACTGATGATGAAGTAGAACCTATTTCTATTAGGAACATACATTCTGAAAATATGACAGAGGAAGAAGAAGATGAATATTCTGATGACAAAGCTAATGCTGATGAGATGTTGAATATATTGAGATCCCAATCTCATTCTAATGACCTCAAATTCAGAAATGCTGAAGTTCAGGTCAATACTCCAAAGCTCCTGACTTTATGTGAACTGATACTAACAGATGACAAACTGAAAAATTTCACTGGTGTGAATAATTTCCAAATATTCGACTCCATTGTGCAAGTGTTTGAGAAGTATCATAAAGATAAAAGAGTTCACAGATTGAGTTCAAGACAGCGCATCATGTTGGTACTTACCAAACTGAAGACAAGTCTGACCTATGTGATAATGGGTGCTCTTTTCAATATAACCTCAGAATTGTGTAAAGTTTATATATTTGAAATGATACCAATATTATGTTCAGTTTTGAGACCACTAATCCATTTCCCTAGCCAAATTGAAATTGGTAAAAATATTCCAAAGTGTTTCTCAGAATTCCAAAATGTGAGAGTAGTGTTGGATTGCACTGAAATATTTGTACAGTCTCCTAAATGTCTTTGCTGTAGAATAAGGTTTTACTCCCAATACAAGTCACATATGACTGTAAAGTTTATGACAGGCGTATCACCAGGTGGTCTCATAACTTTTATAAGCAAACCCTATGGTGGTAGAGCCTCTGATAAGGTTATATTTGAAGGTAGCAATATAATTACATTGCTGGATTCTGGGAGGGATGCTGTAATGGTTGATAAGGGTTTTTGCATTGATGATATTTGTGTATTACACAGGATAAAATTGATCCGGCCACCATTCCTAAGAAAGCAGAAACAACTAACTGGAGAACAAGCTATTTTGAATGCAAAGATTGCTTCAGCTAGAGTCCATATTGAACGTTCCAATCAAAGATTGAAGATATTCAATATACTTTCTGGAAAGTTGAACTGGAACCTGGTTCCATTGATTGAGGATATATTTGTTATCATTTGTGCAATAACTAACTTATCATCACCAATTTTAGCTGATAGTAGGTTTTTGGAAAGATAGTTTTACCTTTATTATGGTTGTTTTTATTTCAGCATACTAGTTTTTAGTTGTTTATGTGAATGAATTTTCTTCAGGTATTCCTAAACAATAAACTTTTTTATATAACTTTGCTTTTCATTGTATTGATAAAAAATGTCATCAACTAGGTACCCATTGGGAATTCAATTAAAATCTATACACATTTTTGCAAACTAACATTTATTGATGGAAAAAACTGAAGAATTGTACAGCATGAATAATTCATGAATCAGTTTGAGCTCCTTGGTTCTCACATAGAACATGCAACATCTTATTAAAATAATTTCTCTTTATAATGGATAGCATATTTGTTGAGAATTCATAATCAAAATCAATTTCCATAATGAGAATACTGTCATCATATGATGCATAAATAACGAAAAATGTCTTGTCCAAATTCAGCAGAGCCATTCCCATCTGTACCTGTCCATAGTACTTGTGTCGTTTCTTCAATTTGTACTCCCCATTCTCCTGATGAACATATTTGGTGTTTTTCAAAGCATCTAAAATGGTCTTCTCACTACCTAAAATGCAAAAGAGAGTATTTTTCAATGCTTATAAATACCAATCTTGGATAAAAGCATGAAACAATATTTTCATATAAAAAAACATATTTTTCTTCATATCATA